TATCAAAATACATCAAACTTCCTCAAAAAATGTGATGTATTTTGATAAAACTTAATTATCAAGTCCGATTGGCTGGTATGATTTGTAGTGTTTGCTTATTGGTCAAAAGGTGTTTTCTTAAAAAATGGATAACTTTTTAATAGAGACATTAACAAAATGAACATTTTCAACTTTTTTTGGTACAATTTGAAATTATGTGATATGATGTCATCATGCCCATATATGTGTACATTGCATTTTTTGACACATAAAATGTGATAGTTTAGCCAGAGCTTTAGCTTGTATCAAAAATAGAGAAGCAAAGGAGCACATTGTTACAATAATAAATAGAGTTCAACACATAAATAGTTGTTCAACATCCATATTAATGAACCTACTGTACTTGCTAATCTATCTTAACTTTGGTTAATTCATCATATACAATACAGCAGAATGTGATCAGAATCACAATCATATTTTATTTGTCCTTTCAAAAACTACAATGGAACACAATTACTCTAAACATTCACAAAGTTAACAGACACATAAATATTACATCAAAGCAAATAACTTAAACTACTGAATACATTTAACTGACTGTCCTGCAGCCAGTCAGTAAAATATATTTCAGTGGATGGACTGGATGAAATGAGCATAAAACATTTTCATGATATTAGATTAATGTTGGCTTGTATTTTATGTACAATATACAGGTTTTGGTTTTTGAACTGATTCAGTGTTCTTATTCTTATTAAGCTTATTGCCAATCATGTGTAACAAGGCGACGAACTGCAGTAGGCCTACCCAATCACGTGTAACAAGGCCAAGAACTGCAGTAGGCCTACCCAATCACGTGTAACAAGGCCAAGAACTGCAGTAGGCCTACCCAATCACGTGTAACAAGGCCAAGAACTGCAGTAGGCCTACCTGTTTCATTAGGATCGTAGGTATTGAAAGCTTCACGGAGGGTTGATTTGTTTGCAGTTACTTTCTCTCGTACATTCCGTAAGGCTGATTCTTCAATAACGCTTAAGCTGTGACGACAATACAAAGTAATAGTAACAGTTTCACAAAAAAAGTAAATAAATATGACTATAATTTTGACTATATAATATTAATTTTTTTCATACTTAAGATATTCTTCCATAAACACATGTTTTTTAATTCAAGTTGAAATTATTGTTGAAACAAAGAACACAACAATCACCCAGAAACATAAAGTGAATACTACCAATACAAATGAAACAAATCCAAATAAATTTAGAAAAGAAAACGGTAACAAAGTCCAAATAAAAAAAAGTTGAAAATAAAAAAGTAAGGGGTACACCAAAAACGATTTACACTTAAAACCACAATCTTTTTCTTGATTTGTGATTTTTGTTGTGATCTATCCATGATAAGTAACTGAAATTTACTAAATATCATATACAGTATAACAAAAATATAAAACTGTGATATATCTCCCTAGTCTTTAAAGAACAATCATAATTAAGAATATGCTTACCTTTGCCTAGCAGTGAGTGGTTTAGTGGATGTAGTCTCAACATACATATACTGTACAGGATGGGGCTTCAAGTCTTGGCCTAACTTGATGTAAGCTCCTCGATTACTTCCAATTTCGTAGTAATTTGACGCCGAGAAGACTGTCAGAACCTTTTGGAAAACAAACATTCAATAATGACTTAAAAGATGTTTACTTGATTTTAACTTTTGTTTGAGCCTGACCTGTGTAGTTCATGTTTGCCACAAAATGTTTCTTGTATTTTAGCATTACGGTAATGTTCTATGTATTTATTCATCAAAACTGACTTAAAGAAACCCTCTGGCAGTATAGACTTGAATAATGAACAAAAATTAAAAGATATACACTTCAGGCAGGTAGCAGGTTCCACTCTCACCAGGGGCACTTTTCTAAACTATTGATAACAAAGTTTTTCTTGATATGCCCTGTACGATCTTTACATCATTTAGCCATTATTTGAGCACTGTTTCTACCATTTGATAATGGATATATACCTAGATGCAAGTATGTTCCAATGAAGTCAGCGATATATATTTCCTAATTTAACAACATGTTTCATCCTGCCCTCAGCATTTATAATAATAATAATAATATTAATAATATTTATTAGGCAAAGTAAAAAGTATACATACAATATTCTTGCCAGGAGTAAGTAATAGGCATAAGCCCAAACAGTAAACTGCTCTTACTCCATCATCAATACAATGACAATACAATATAAATATATACAAAAAAAAAAAAAAAAAAAAAAAAAA